TGACTTATAGAGGATATAGATACTTTTACGTAGTATTATTAATTCATAAGCATATTGATTATGACACAATGTAGAATATATTGGAAATGAATGTCGAGATTTTCGCGATTAAATTCGCTATAAAACTGTATTTGAACATACTGTGTAGGATGAAGAATGACACAGTGATAAAAGAAAAGGTAAAGACGGCGGAAAGTGTCAACTTTTCAATACGAAAATCAGTTTTTTTTGTTCCAGTTTGATTTAGAGAATATCTAAGAAAGCCATTCGAAAAAGCGCAAAATTCTCTATCTGAAACTCATGTTCAACAATTTTTTTGAATAGAGAGATTAAATTTTTGTGCTTTTTCAAAAATAACAGTTTTCGTGTTTCACATTCATGTTTTTGCTCGATTCAGAAAAATCCTCGTAACTCAGCCAAAATTCATCCTTTTTTTTATATTATTTTTTGCTTTGAAGGTTTTAGTCTCAGCTAGCGAATGACCATGATTTTGGAGTTTTTGTGTTTGTTGAGTTTACTTAATCTCGGTCTCGGCTGGTCTCGATTCCAGTTGATTGCGGTTTCGATTAGTCTCACTCTCGCTCTTGGATCGTCTGGTCTGAGTTTCGGTCTTAGTTTAATTGGTTTTGGCGAGTCGATATCGGATCAGCGTTGGCTTTGTGTTATATTTACCTATTTCTATCAGAAAGTTTGTTAGATTACGGTTTGTGATAATGTAACTCTTTTCGTCGAGCATATTAACTTCTTTGATAGAAAAACATATTTATTGAATTGAGAGTACAATTGAGATGTTTTTTATTATTTTATCGTTAGTTCAATAAATACAAAGATTTGTTTTATGTGAATAGAATTTTAAAGCAGTTGAAGGAAAGACAAAATCAATTTTCTACATACATATAATAGAACAGAATACGCTACGTTTATCTTTGCATATCTCGTATGCAAAAGCAAACTGTGTTTCTATTCTTTATATTGTAGAAGGATTGGATTGATTGATTGATTTTGTCTTTTCTCCAGCTGCCTTATAATTTTATTCATTTTATAAAATATATATATGTCTATATATATATTTTATATTATTTTCATTCTACCGCAGCACTAGACAAGGTTATAAAATAAGAGATGTACTACCAGTTCGTTATGTATTGACTCTTTATCTTATAGATGTTATAGTGGTATAATGTGAGAACGTTTTTCATCCACTATATGTATCATAATAATAATATAATATCATATAAAAATTGCACAACTTCAATCATTCTACAATATAAAGAATAGAAACATATAATTTATTTTTGCATATGAGATAGAGTAAAACTGGGCTATTGTAACCAAACAATTGTTTTTTGACTTATTTTGACAATGTTTCACTAAAGATTAAGGGATAATAAAATTTTTTGAATACGTTTTACAACTAGTAAATAGAAGAGAGAATAATTTATTAGTCTTAAGAAAAAAAAACTTCGAGATTTCGCTGGTAAATACTCCGAGCATTTCTCTATCGAATAGTCTAAAATTCTCCAAAAACGTGTAAGAGGTTATGAACTTCCAACCGGTTTAGTGTATAGTGTGGCAAAAAGGTCCAATAGCCCCAATTGGGGCTATTGGAACCGTCTCATTGAAATACACAATAAATAGTTTAAATAGTTCAAACCTTATTTTCAACAACGTTTTACCACATATGCAAGTATTTTCAAACATAAATTGATAGAAGAAAGCTTTATCAAATGGAACTATTTGGAAATCTGTATGCCAAAAATTACCTGAAATATTGCTGAAATACTATGTGGCTCTAAAAATCACTTTGATTCTAATAGCCCTAATTGGGACTATTGGAATTGTAACGTAAAATACTGCTGCTATGCGAGCTGTCCATTAAAACAGATAGAATTTTGCAGCCAAAAGTAAAAAGAGTTATTTAATACACTAAAGTGTCATTTAGCAATAGCATACAACAACAGTAATACATTTCCAGTAAGTAACAAACAAATATGAATTTTTTGAATACGTTTTACAACTAGTAAATAGAAGAGAGAATAATTTATTAGTCTTAAGAAAAAAAGTAAACTGAAACGAAGATAAAAATCTAATCTCTTGTCGAATTTAGGGTTTCGTTGGTTCTTCTTCTAAAATACCAATTAGTCAAACACAATCAAATACTGATTCAATGTCATCATCAAATAATCGAAGTGTAAGTACGAAAACTATGTCTAACTACTTCATGATTTTATCTATATTTTTCGATTTTTCCTTTCTACAATCTTCTTTTCTTGATTTCATATATTCATATAACTAACAAATTTTGCTGATTAAAAGGAAGAATTTTGTCTTCATTTAACAAGGTTCTCCAAAGACGATCTGACCATTATGACTTGGAAACTTTATGAAACTTTCAGAGAATGATGAAGTTATTACTGTATCATAGTAAGTTTGAGCTGGATTCATTCATACTGTCAATAGACAATAAGACTTTAATATCTAAATATAACATTTAATCAGTGATTTGGCATAAAATTTCTTAAAAAGTATTATCTATTAAGACTATGAAAATTGACGTGAAACATTTGACAATAACTTAAGGGCCCCCTCTCCTTCAGAAAAATACTTTTTTGTCTTACTTCCGATTTTGATCAAATTTTCAGCATATGTTTGCCATATCAAAGTGTGGTAATGAAATTATTTTTAGATCGCAATCTCTTACCGTTCCGGAGTTTTCAGAGTTCAAGATCAAAAACCCATCCTCCACTGTGGAACCCTTTTTTTAAATATTCTTCAAGCTAGAGATCTCGCGTTGATTTTATTTTAAACTAGACACCTAACTGCGTGAGGTGATGGGAGCTGTTATGTTTTCAAATATAAACCTGAATAGTTTTCTATCGCTTTATTCATTAACTAGTAATCCTAATAACTACATGAAAAAACAGTAAAAACTACAACTATTTATATATAAAATTTACGCATATTTGAACATACGAGAAACAGATGGAATAACAGGACATGAAGTAAGGAGAATAGAAAAGAAAATGGCGTCAGGAAAGACAAAGAATAGTCCCATATGATAACATATGATGTTCTTACAACATGACGCATAGTACTGACCGACACATGGCGTCAGTAGAACAGAAAGGAAAAGAATAGTCACATTTCCAAGTATATGATCTCTTTATGTCCTCGTGACATAACAGAAGATCATTTTTGATTTAGGCCTTCGTTGATTTTCCAGAGATCCAAGAACTGAAAAATCGGAGAGACCCTTATGGGTTTTGCAGCGATTCTTGCTTTTCTAGAAAACTAAGGCCTAATTCAAAAATCGGCTCCCATCATCTCATGCAGTTGGGTGTCTAGTTTAAAATAAAACAAACTCGAGATCTCTAGCTTGAAGTATATTTAAAAAAAGTGTTCCACACTGGGCATTTTTGAACAAAAAAACGTATCCTGAGAGAAAACGCTGTTCATTCGTTGACCTATTTTAGGACATGTAGGAAAACGCTTGTAATTTGTGAACGCAAGATCATGCAGAATTGTGTAAATTCTTCTTTTGATCGGAAAAATCTGTTCTACAAATCTACGTGTTCAGAAAAAATATGCTTGCTTAAATATCCAGAAAAAAATTATTATTTGAAAACCCTGATTTAGGCTTCTCGAGAACTTGCTCGAAAACCACGAAAAACCAGTTCGAGGCCCGAAAGCAATACAGATTCTGAAAGTAGATACTACAGGTTATGTTTCATGTGCTTGTCTCCAAATCGACTTTTTGCTACAAAAAGATTTCATTCTAAAGAGGTCTCTTAAAATAATTATATTTTTCGTCCTAGATGAGAAAGTAAAAAAGGTGTTGATTCTGAATTAAAATTCAACTCTAGAATCAACTAAAAACTTAAAATCGAAACTATTTTGATTGTTTAGTCACAAAGTTGAAGGAGGATGCACACTTCAAGTGTTTCTGTATTTATTTTGTGTGTAAATTTGTAACAACTTTTAGCACATACATGAAAAAGCTGAATATGAATTTGCTTAAACCTATCGATGAATTTATTGATTATTTTCACTTTACTATGATGTTAATTCAGGATATTATAAAGAAATATATGTAAAAGTCGAGTGGAATAGAAATTTGATTATAATTATAGATCATTCTGTTGATTTATTTTTTTCAGTCTACTATAACAATAATTGAAGATATTATAAAGAAAAAGTATAATACATTAATATTAAAATTACATTTACAAGATGATAAAAAGAAAGAACATAAAGAAAAAATTAGAAATATGTCTGATGATGAAAGAGATCAATTTATTAGTGAATTATTAAATGAACTTAAAACAGATTTATTTACAACCTTGGATAATATTCGACAACGATTGAAAAGTCAACGTCCAACAGATTTAAATGATCCAGACTATGAAGCAAAAATTAAATTATATTGTGAATTATTAAATACAGTATCGTCCATTCTCGAAGAAGTAAATAAATCAGTTAAAGAAATATTTGATGAATTTCATCTATTTCTGGATGAATTATGGTATGTTTTAGAAAGATGAAAATAGTTTATTTTTCTGTTAATGCATCTTTACTGCATGATCGAAAAGCTCACCAGCTTCTAATAATACAGTTTTCTTGCAGAAGAAAGAAGCGAAAGCATCTCTTGAGGAAAGTTTTCTTATAGACGCTTGGCTGCTTATACAGTAAGAGATAGATCTAAGCAGAACTTCCCTTGAAGAATTTTCTTGTAAAAGGGCGACTATAGGTGGAATAAAGTTGCAGGAGCCGGATATCAGAAGTCAAACTTTTTGCAAGAAAAATTTCCTAGTACGGATGCAATGGAGATAAAGCCCTTTCCCTCTCAGAAAAAACCTTCGTGCAAGGACGAGAGTGCAGGCAGAAAGAAGGAAGAGTGAAGGTATTGATAAAAGTGCAGGAAACAGGGTGATAGGATGAAGATGAGAAGAGACTCAAAAAGAGTCTATTGTAAAACTGAAAAGTGGTGAAAAGTTCCTCATATTTAATACAGCTTTACAGAGTACGTAGATTATAATAAAACCATGTTTTTTGCCAGATCTCGTTTTGTTGTCATGATTCCGAAAGATATCGTTATTTTATAGGCTAAAACTGTTCATAGCGCGAAAATTGTTTTGTATTCCAAAATAAAAAAAACAGCTGAATTTCAATGCTTTTTCTCTATCTCACGCATTTTTCCAAAAATTATATTTGTTTTGTATAATCTATGTAGTGAAATTTGTGCTTACAGGAATGCAATATATGAAGAAAAAAATACTGACGAAATAATCGAAAACTTTAAACGAACACTTGATCATCACATGAAAACAAAATGGGAAAATGTTTTTAATACTGTCGATGAGATTATACGACAGGAAACAGGTATAAAACAACAACAACAACAACAACAACAATTACCGGAGTTGTTAGAACAAGAACATGGTAAGTTTTTCAAATTTGGTCCTTTTTCACATTTGAATTCACACATCACAAAGAGTTCTGAAGTTGAAATCCATATGTGAGGTAATTCAATGTCCTCAAAAGCTAAAATGACTATCTAAAAAAGAAAAGATCATTGCAATCAATGTTCACCCTTACCATGAACTACAAACTAATGTAAAAAACGAAGACTCTTTCATGACTTATTTCTCAAGTAGCAAATGACAAACTACGAATGATACTTTCTTTAAGAATTAGTTCTTCAATTTTACAATTGGAATCTCCATCGATTAATTGTCTACGTATTGAAGCTACAAAAAATTTTCATTTTGATACATACATGTATCAAACTTCATTAAATGCTTGTGTATAAACGTGAGCAAAGATAAAGTTGCACAAGAAACAACAAACTTTTCTTTCAGTCACCATCATGCTCAGTCTCATCCTTACACTCGCTATTATCCTAACCCTACAGCGTACACCATCGCTCTCATCTTCACCTTACCCTCAAATTCTCCGTCGCCCTACGTTCTTAGCCTCACTGTGACTTTTACTCTTACCTTCACTATTACCCTACATTCCTCACTCTTCTAATTTCCAAAGGGGAAAAACACCACCACATTCCACTACACCACTACGCTACACTATATTTCACTACAGTCCACTACAGTGTAATGGATTTCTATGCATTCCACCACAATGAAGTGGATTCCACTACATACCCCTACATTGTAGTGGAGTGTGGTGGTGTTTTTTCCACCTTACTTATTCCTCACAATTTTCCTCACTCTATACTCTCACTCTCATTGTGATCTTCATTTCCATCTTCCTCTCATGAGGGAAGGCCACCAACTGCCACCTCGCTTTTTAGCTCTAAGCTGGTGGGTAATAGGTAAAAAATGTGCTGAATCCGAATATGACAATTGTTTGGGCCGCTAGGCCTCCAAAGACTGGATTTCTGGAAAACCAGTTTTCCAGAAACTCCAAAAACTCTTCAAAACTTTTTCTTAATAAGTTAAAATTGTAGCACGCGAAATTCTGATCAAAATGAGACATTGCCCAGCTCTACATGACATTTCTTTGCAAAGTTATGGAATTTACAAGAAAAGCCCTAAATCAAGTTTTTCGTTCTTATATTTTTGTAGCTTTGAACTACAGTAACAATGAACATTCGGGCTTTTCTTGTAAATTCCATAACTTTGCAAAGAAATGTCATGTAGAGCTGGACAACGTCTCATTTTGATCAGAATTTCGCGTGCTACAATTTCAACTTATTAAGAAAAGTTTTGGAGAGTTTTTGGAGTTTCTGGAAAACTGGTTTTCTAGAAATCCAGTCTTTGGAGGCCTAGCGGCCCAAATAATTGTCATATTCGGATTCAGCGCATTTTTTTACCTATTACCCACCAGCTTAGAGCTAAAAAGCGAGGTGGCAGTTGGTGACCTTCTCTCGTCAGTTCTACCCTCATCCTCCCTCACCTTCACCTTCACCCTCGTCCTTACTCTCAGTGTCACACTTACCTTCTCCATCTTACCATCTCCACCCTACATTCTCATTCTACCTACTCACCCTCGCTCTCACTTTTACCTCCATCCTCACCTTTACACTCATCCTACAAGTACACGCTCGCCCTTACCCTTACTCTCATCCTCACGTTCACCCTCACTTGCATCTTCACACCACCATGACTACGATTACAAGAACTTTTTCTGCAAATTTTTTCTTTGACGACTTGTCAAAGAGCTAATGACTAAGACCTCGCTTAAGCTCTTCAAAACAAAAACAGTTCTCTTATATATATATCCTAACTAGATGAGTCAATATACGGCATAAGCTGTAAATATTAATCGATTACGATGACTAAATTGAACAAATTTAACTTGTTTTCTTACTTTCAAATTGTTGAAATTTGAGTCGAAATTTTGAAACTTGTCCAACTAGAACTCAACTTAACTTAGAAAAATTTGAATGAAATTTGAAGTAATACCTATTTTTCACTATTATTGTCTTTGTTTAGCACACAACAACCATGAACAACAACAACAAAACAACAATAACATATGAAACATTAAAATTTATCATTTCAATTTTGATAAAAAGACGATCATTTTATTTTATTTTATGCTCATATTTTATTGTAATTCAGAATGAATAAAAGTCTAAGTCACTAAACAATACTTTGAATTTTTTTCTAGATCATGACTATTACATTAGTTTTCAATTCAAAAATGCTTTTTTTCACATTGGTTCAGTCCAATTGCAAGAGGCAAGAGAATAGACTAGAAATTAGGAAAAAGTATAAAAAGGAAAATATCATTTCTTTTCTTTCCTTCGACATTAGAGTTGCAAAAACTGAAAGAAGCTTAGTTTTGCGAATTAGAACAAAACGATAGAGAAAATTACATATTGAATAGCAGCAGTCAGTGAATTTGAATTACATGCGTGTTACTTATTATCCGAACAAGTTGAAGAGAATTTTAAAAGGTTGATTTAATATCTCATTTAAAGAAAAAGGTAAAGTGTTGTATAAATACTAAAAAAAAGAAAATATGGGATGTCCATATGCACAAATGTGCTTGTGATGCTATATTTTAATGGTATTAGCAGATGCAAGACATTTGGTAATTGCAAACATGTCCAAGTAGTGCCAATGAACAATGTTCCCATGTATAGGAATTGATTGGGAAGTGAATTTTTGAAATCGTTCAAGTTAACATAAAATAATTATTTAAGAGGAGAGTCTCCTTTCAATGAATCAATTTTCAAATATTTTCTGTTTTGAGGTTTGGGTTAGCTCGTGTACTTTCAAGTGTATTCTATTACAATCTGATATTTTTAAGTCTGTTATGACAGCTACACTATCATTCCCTGTTGTCATGAAAGAATGTTGACTCAAAATAGTTGAGTCAATATTCTTTGGTTTCTAGTGATACTATATATATATAGGATTGTTTAGTCAAGAAAAGGAAGAGCTTTTTTGTTTCGGATCAAGATTTTCGGTTTTTTATTGTTATTATCCGAATAAAAGGATTGGCGGTTAGCAAAGTCGATCTAAGATCTCTAAAGGGCTCAAAAAAAAGTTTTCTGAAGTCTATTCCTCAAATTTTTACCTTTCATTTTCTGCTTGGGAACGGAAACTTTGCAAAAAAAGGGTTCTGCTTCTGACAATTTATGCCATAAAGTTTTTTCTAGTAATATAGATTCGTAGAGCAGATTTCTCTCTATAAAAAGAGACGTCGAGCAGTTCTATATCGTTTTCATATCCAGACTTATAACGATTTTAATGAAGATGTTGATAACCAACTAACTGAATAAATCAACTAACATTTAACATCATTACTAAAACTATTAGAACTTCGGATTATAATATGGCGTATCGGTGTCGAACATCTGATATTGTAAAAGAAAGTCTGTTCTATAAATTCGGGTTGTCAAAAACATTTTCTAATGCAGACTGCAAGAAATAGAATATTTTTTTCGTAAATAGCCTCTTTCCACGACAGATAACAGTCTTTGGATGAGCAGCAATGTTCAAGACGGATTCTCGAGAAAACCTAATCCAAGATCACTTATCTGCACGTCTGTGTCTGTTAGACTTAGGATATCTTAGGTCAGGATTCGAGTATTTCCTGAATGGATTTGCTCCATAACCGGACCCAACTCTAATCAAAAATAAATTTTTGTACAGCAGCAGTCATTTATTTAAATTATTAAATTAAATAAATGACTGCTGTTGTACAGAAATTTATTTTTATTCGCTTGTTGGCTCTAAATCGTAATAATGTCCAACCCTAATCTCCATGGATCCAAGTAGTACTCGACGAGCTCCACAAAACCCACATATTGGGTTCTAAATTCACTGCAGTTAAGTACGCAAAAATCGAAAATAATTCCAGTCCTAACCTTTATTTAAGAATTTTGAAGAATTCTAACAACAAACAAGGAAAAGTTGAATACGTTTTACAAACGAATAATAAAAAAGTTGAACAGAAAAACATATACCTTAAAGTCTACAAACTAAATGTAGACTTTAAAATGAACTACATACATTAACCTAAGAACACTTTTATATCTGTCGAGATTTTGATTTCGTCATTAATTTGTTTCTTGTTTAATTTTCAGTAAAATGACGTTTACAAAATGCTAACTTTTTTGCTCGTTTTGTACATGTTGGCATTAAACATAATCCTAGCCAATGATCTTTACCATCGAATTGTTCACGAATACCTTTTTTATTAATTCGAATATCATATCGTTGGTAGTTATATTTTGATTGCCGACGTTGTGGTTCTAAGCGTAGATTTGGATCACCTTCACCTCTTTCTTGTTTTTATTTTTGTTCAGTATAATCGTTTACACCACGACGATGTTTTCGCACGTTTTGAACAATTTTCAACTATACATAATTTTCGCCAATGTCTTCGCCCATCGTATCGTTGAAAGATCAAGAAAAAAACACGACACAAATCAGTAAAAATACACGAAAAAATAAAATAAAAATCTTATACTGGTTTAAACAATTTTGTATGCCTCACAAGATTGTCATAAAATGATGATAACACTAAAATAACATATCAGAAAAGAATATTTTTGAATAATTTACGTGAAAGTTTTGAATTATTTATAGAAGAGAATAAAGGAATAATTATTTCTCGTTCATCGTTTGCCGAATTAAGACCTCCATTTGTAGTTCCAAAAGCAGCGTTAGCTCATAGAATATGTGTATGTATCTATCATGAAAATGTTAATCTATTACTGAAAGCAATTGATAAATTTGTTAAAGGAAATGTTTTTTCATCTTTACAACAATTTACTAGGACTTTAGTTTGTAATACTGCCAATCAAGAATGTATGTTTCTTACATGTCCATTATGTGAAAGTAATTTTCAAGAGAAAGTTATTGATAATGTTGTAAACGGAGCAACTAGAATTAAATGGTGGCAATGGGTTAATATAAACGGACGCGTAGAAAAAAGAAATTTGAAGGATCAGTTGATGAAGCTGTTGAGTTGTTGAAATCCAAAGTTAAATATTTTCTATTTCATGGCTATGTTAAGCGTGAACAAAGTAAATATTCCGAACAGTTAAAGTCAGAAGTAACAGATGAAAAAGTTGTTATACAAGTTGATCTCGCTGAAAATTTTGGATTGAACGAGCAAGACGAAATTCAAAGTGCTCATTGGAATATAAAAACTCTGTCAACATTTACAGCTTATGTATAGCCTAAAAATCAAGGTTTTTCATTTACGCTTCCATCGAATGACGTCCCGTATGATAAATTTGTTGTAAGCTCAGCTATTGAAATTATTTCAAATGAACTTAAAACACATGTACCGAATTTAAAACAAATTAATTCCTTTGGCTAGCATTATTATACTTCAAGTGTCTTAGGTGGAAGAAAACGATAACTTAGTCATTGTTTAGAGGAGTCCTTAGGTTCAAGAACTACTTTCGAGTAGAGAAACACAGTAATTTCGCTCTTTTAGGACTAAAGAATGTTTCTTCCAACAATTATATCGTCATTAAAGACCTCAGCCTTGGTAAGAAAAAAAACAGTGTCACAGCGTCACGTTAATAAATTCGATTTTCTAATCGACGCAAAGGGTTTGAATCAAAACTTTTTCAGCAATCGATAGCTCTTTAGTTACTCTACAAACTTCTCTCTAGGAACGTGTCATTTGTTAAACGAACTTCACAGGAAATTGGCATTTAATTAGCAACACTCGGAAAAAGGGCCTTTTTTTGTCACAGCGTCACGGCCCGAAAAATGGTTCTGTACACTAGAGGCTTAACCCAAATGTTCTGAGTTCAGTATATCATGAATAGAGCGAGCTAAGCTGCATCGCATGCCGCCAGAACCAACCTTCTAGCTCTTCTACTTTTTGAGCTGATTTAAAATTAACGTGTAAAAACTATTACAGCGTCGTTTTTCGACCGTATAGTTCCACTAGAATGTAGTGGATTCCACTGCATTCTAGTAAGGTGTAGTGAAACTATAGTGAACTGTAGTGGAATATAATGTAGTGATGGAGTGGAGTGATGTTTTTTCCTCTTTGCTTAACCCTCATCATTTCCCTCACTCTACACTCTCACTCTCAGCGTGATCTTCACTTTTATCTTCACCTTAGCTTCACTCTCGTTGTCACCTTTACTTGCATTCCCGCCCTATACCTTCATTCTAAGCGCTCACTCTCGCTCTCACCTTCACGTTCATCCTTCATGCATACTCTTGCCCTTACTCTCACTCTCATCCTCACGTTCACCTTCACTTTATCTTTTACGCTCACTCTGACTATCACTGTGATCTTCACTCTCGCACTCACTCTCATCCTCATCCATACTGTTACTCTCACGGATTTTTAGATCATTAAACTATGTTTATACCCGTAGTAGTGTTTGGAGGTGAGAAACTTATAGTATACACTATTGCAAAATAAAACGGTAAGCGACTTAAACCATTCGAAGTGTCATTTTCGCTATTGGACGGTGGTTCTCTATTTAGTCAGGATGAGCGTTCGAGTTAGTAACATAAACTAGTCTGATTTCCTCAGACATGCCGTATAATACGTCAGTTAGATAGTCAGGTCAGGCGTCCGTCGTTTTGTGAGTATATGACGTTCACTCGTTCGAAAATGAGATTTTTCTCACACCGTTTGGTGCTTCGGATGCCCTTCAAAAGTGTGACTCTGACGGATCTGCAGAAGTCAGTAGAGAGGTCGTCCAAATAGCTATCTTTGCCCGTCAGAACTCGGACAAGTTCGTGTGGATTGTACAGACATTCCGGGCTAGTGCGAAGGCCTCTCTTGCCATTTTCTTTTATCCACTCGGGAAGATTCTTGCACTAATCTTATGAAATCTTATGCATAATTTTCATAAAAAGCTTATGATAACCTTTTAAGAATCTTATAAGAGCACTATAAGATGCTTATGAATTTCTTATCTTTTTCTGGTGTATTTCTTATACAAGATTTCTATAAGATCGTTATAAGAACTTTAAAAGGTTCGATTTGAATAAGATTCGTTCAGTAGAGTGATAGAATTGCACCAATCGTTCTTGAGAATCAGCACGAACAAAAACATCAGTTCCAGCACTCATTCCATCATTTCAGTTGTCAGTTGTAATTATGTACTTGAAAGTGATCATCGAGTGAAACTGATGCATCAGTAATTGGATTCTAACTCTCAAATAAAGTATAGAACAGAATTGTGTATTAGTTCATTTTGTAGAGAAAATATTTCTCTGGTACTGTGATTTCGAAAAACAATTTCTTATGTGATCTCATGAATCTGTAGTGATTTCTTTCATGCTCATCCTTAAAAACAATTGGTGCTATTCTATCAAACATCAAAACAGTAAAAAACGTACATATCTCCTAGATCAAACAATCAAATATGAGAAACTTTAGTCTTGTGATCAATATTTCCTAATTACTATAGATACACAAAATATCAATCGAAAAGGTTCATTCATTTGGCAGATTGAGATAGAGAGATACTTTCAGCAAACATTATATTTATTATGTGAATTATAAAAAAACAAAAAACATTGAATCAAGTTTTCTAGAATATTATATAAAGATGTTTACGCTTACTGTACTATTATAGAGTGAAAAATACCATAATAGATTTAAAAAGATCATGTATTTTTTTTGTAACATATTCTACTATTGCTTCGGCCAGCCATCGAATAATAGTAATAATAATTTCTGTTAATTTATTAAAAAGAGATTTAAACCAATTTCCTAATTGTTCCAATGGACCATCAGGTGAAGTTAGTTGATTAACAAATTCAACATAAGTTCTTTCTTTTTGTTCATAGTTTTGCTCTGATCGATGTGGTTTACGTCTCTTCATATCTTGTCTAATTTCTTCAAATGAAGTATTAAATGTTTGTTGTATTCGGTTAGTACGATCATGAAGTATTGTTTCTGCATTATCAGGATCATTTGATTTTTGTTCAGCTAATTTTTCCAGTTGATCACATTCATCTTTCATACGACTTTTAAGATTTGCAATTTTTCGTTTTAGTTCATCAATTGTAGACATAACCTTTCTTGTTTCGAAACTGTAAATGTAAAAAAGAAGATTAAATCACAAACGATATTTAATGTATTATTTGCTCATTTATGGAAAGCTATTTGTGAGTTATTCTATTGAATATTGATCAATTTGTATAGAACATGTCACGATAAATTTAGCAATATATTTTAAATGAAATTTATATTCATTATAATTACAAATGTCAACTTTGAAATAATCTTAAAATATCGGTACAAACTTTCAAATATAGTTAACGTTATAAACTTTTGTCAATCAACTGTTCAATTGAATAACATCTAAGAAAGGAATCCCCTGTCAGAAACAAAAAGATTCAAGAACCATTGACTTTCTAGACAACTAAAGCCTAATCCAGAAATCAGCTTCCATCAGTTCATGTAGAACTATTGTAAAAACGATTATCTCTCTATGACGAAACATTATTTCGAGAAAAGGTATTCCACGATGAGTGTGTCTGGACAAAAGTGTGTGTTGTTGAGAAATACGTAAAACAACCATTTTGATGTATTTTAACGTGTTCTGACAATGTAACATTTATACTTAACATAGAAATATAGACATATTATATCAATCGAAAAAACTCATCGACCTGCATCGAATGGTACATGTCGCGACACATACAGGTACACGCAGCGATGACAACTAAAAAGGCCTAAATGAGGGGCACATTTCAGACAAAGGCGGAAGTAAGGTGGACTTATTTCCAACAAAGGAGGACACGCATCATTGGTTGTGCAAGGTCATTGACAAAATCGAGGCACATAAGCTTTTTGTCTATCGTATACTTCTATTTATTCATTTTTCTTCTTCTAACCATGAGGACTTGTCCAATCGAAAAAAGCACCTCCATCAAGACAAAAGAGTTATCTGAACCGTTGTCACACTTCGATATATCGCGATGAATGTTATATCATTATAT